GGGTTCGTGAATAAGTCTAGTGCAAATTAAAAGAGAAGGAATCTTGCTTTCTCCTCATTTCACAGTGGACCACCTCTAACTCAGTTTTTTTAATCTACTCAGCAACTACTGACAAAGACCCTCCTAACGTCCCAGCACCATTACGTAGAAAGAACAAAGCCTTCCCTCATGTCACCTCTGGTCTGAGAAAAGAAGGAAGACAGAGCCACTAACCATGTGAGTTTACTCACTGACCCACTCCGTTTTAGGCCTTTTACAATGGCTTTTTTGAGATGTTACAGTGTCACCAGGAAGTCAGCAGGGGGCACCTCAAACTCGTGCTCTGCTAGGGAGGTAGGGCGTTGCTCATTTTAGACCAGGGCTTTATGTTGGGCCTGAAGTTGTCACTGAGTGTGAAACCAGCAGCAAAAGCATTCCCATCCTGCTCGTCTGGTCCTTAACTGGGGCTCAATAACAGTCTCCTTTATCTCCGGCACAAATGTACATTTTGTCTGCTTTTTAAAAAAGAGAAAAAACTTCTTATAAGCGCACATGGGTTATCAATGCAGTGGATTATTTGTGGGACATTCTGGCTTTTACGAGCTGCTTTCTAGGGAAGGCCAGCATTCTCCTTGACAGCAGCTGTCTGCTCTGTGGTCTTTCTCCCTCACCCGGGGGCCTTGTTCTAGATGTGACCACTGCAATGCGTTGGCTTCTTGTTTAAAACATTATTTTTAAAATTATCTTTTATTTCTCTTCTTACCTTTATTCAGACAGGTCTTTTAGTGCTGTTATTAAAATAGAATCTCTCTCTCTCCTTTCTGTTGCTTTTGGAAGGCAGGAGGGAATGACTATTCCCAATTCAAGAAAACTAAAATCCTTCAATGTGTCCAGACTATATTACATCATATCTCTATGGCTCAAAGCACTCCTCCCACCAAGCAGCTCTCCCCAACCTCTAAGCTGAGTAACCTGGATCCTGATGAAGTGGTATGTAGGGAGTTGGCTAAATATAATCTTTATTTGTATTTATAACTTTTCCAGACCACAGTACCAGACTTTGCAGTGGAACTGTACTCTGCTGGAGTTTAGCCTTCCTGAACCAAGCCACTGGGAATTTCTTCAGCATCACTTTGCGGGGTAGTGGACGAGAGGGCGGTTCTGCAAGCCCAGCATCTCCACTCACGGCTGCACTGTGGGACGGTCCAGCCCAGGAACCAGGTCTCGGAGCTGCTGATCTCACCCCCCAACCCTCACCTTCATCTCCGCTCAGATCCATCCATGCCGCAGCTGAATACTAGGATGTGGTGGGTAGTGGCAGGAAAGCCCTGCACGACGATTTCCAACAAACATCATGACTTGTTTTTTCTTATTTAAAAAGTCAATAGGGTTTTTTTTTTTAACTATATTTCACACTTGTGATTTCGGATTTCTAAATTTTATATGCATTCGCCATGTTCTGTTTTTCCCTTCATAGAGCATAATTTTTGTGATAGAGAGCAGACCCACCTCAGTACTGATGCATTTTAGAGCCCATGTAGACATGTGATATTTTAGTTTAAAAAAGATGCAACAAAACAGAATATGCACTACGACATGCACGCACAAAAGATTTTGCTTCCCAGTCTTTTGTAATTACAGCAAGATTACAATATAACATATTAAAACATGTGTCTTCTTTTCTGGAGTTACCCCCTCTACCCCAGAATAAAGGACCTTATGATTTGTGGTTACTGTTCTCTTCTGTGGTTGTTTCATGTTTTAGTTTGCTAGAGGCTACATGTGCTTGTAGGAGAGAGACTGAGAGAGAAAAGGACAGTGAGAAAATACCCTCCGTGGGGGAGTTCATGCTGCAATCCTTGCTCCTCCATCTCTTCCTCCTTTTGTACTTTGGGCATTCACACAGGGGCCAGCGTGCTTTCCACCCTGCTGGGTCTGTAATTCCAACTGTGCAGTCAGGCATGTGAGATCCTGCAGCCTTAACCAACCAAGCTATGTGGTTCCTATTCTGTACTCTTCCCTGAGTTCCATCTTCCTTCTGTATCACAGGGACATCATTCAGTTTGGGGTGCTTTGGTAGTAATTAGATGCAAAAACGACTCACCTCAATCAAAATAATATTGATAGATCACTAGATACATAGAGAGAGGTAGAAATGTCCCAGCATCAGGAATTTCCTGGTGTTTCGCTAGGTATGCACACTGAACTTTTCACTTACAGCATTTTTACATTAAATATATACCAGAAGGAAGTGTCCCGTCATAGGGCATGGTTTTGTTAGACATTTATGTGTTACACGCTCATTAGCTTCTTTTAACCTAAAGCTTGTTTAGTCTGTTACAAAGGACATGCCCCTTTGGGAAGAAGTCAAACCTTAAGCTCTCCCAGGCCACAAACCTTGCGGAAGTCTGGATAAAGCGCTGCGCCAGGGCACACGCAGTTCGGCCTGGACATCACGTGAGTCTGGCACGTGCAGTCCGGACTGGAGATCACGTGAGTCTGTGCTGGAGAAGGCAGAGGCCTGATTCCTCCCAGCGCAGCCAATCAGGAGGGAGCGTTGCCACCACACCCACCTGCCCAGAGCCTGCCGGGAGAGCAGCCAACATGCTTTTCTACCCGGCTGCAACGC